TGATCAGCACAGGTCGAAGGACTCCTTGTTGGCGTTTTCTCCAACTTGCAGATCAAGGAGCACGATGAGGGCGGCTGTGTCAGAAATGTCCGGATTGTGTTTGAAGCTGGAAAAGAAAACCAAAGGACCTGGAAATTGATTTGCATTTAGAATCATTTAGCCATTCTTCCTGCGGTTCTTCCTATAGAACAGGTTCAGTTTTGGGGCTTAATTTTGGGACAATCTTGGGAAAGCATCAAAAAACGACGAATGTAACCCACGAACGATGTTCCGACTTGGTGATGCCAGGTGGTACTGGTATTTCAATGTATTTCCTACGTCAGCGGAGGAATCAGAAAATCTCAAACAAAAGCAGTTTTGAGGATGTTTGAGGTTATAGTCATTATAGTCCTTCTTGATGAGTATTAAATATAATCATATGAATCATTTATGAATCCATCTGATACCAATGATTGGGGTGTTTCACCATGGCTTTTTTTTCAAAGGATCCCCGTGGATCCCCCGGCCTTTTTCGAGGATCGCAGCCTGTCGGTGCGCGAAGTGCCTCGAAAGGATGCGCATATCGCTGCGAAGGATAAGGAGCCCAAAGAGGCAACGGGTGATGCTGTGGGAATCCCCATCCGTGGCCTCTAAACAGGCCACCATGGTGGGGATGAAATCACATCATTGGGACAAGGGGGGATGTTTATGGATGTTAAATATTACGGGGATGGGATTCATGATATACAAAAGATCTAAAGCAACCTGTGTAATTGATTCAATAACAACCATTATCTGCAGACTTAGGTATTTAAGCAAGAAACACATGGAACAGTTCAGTTTCCGAAAGTTGCTGGGGATATCATGGGATTCAGCAGGATATTAGCTGCATACCCACAGATAGATTGTAGCGACGTCACAACAAGGTCACCAAAAAGAACGTATATGATCGTATATGTAATGTATAATTATGTATTATAGACTCATGTGAATACATGAAATACATCTAAAATCATTTAAATTTAAATATACACTTTCAATATCGTTCAATCATTTACATATACATGATACAAATATTATACATATATTTGTACATGCGTTGCGTTGCCTTTCGTTACTTTACCCTACATCACATTACATCACATCAGTCACATCGCATTGCATCCCATGCCACTAGGCACTTGAGAAGCCGGGACTCTTCCACACGGATACCCTGGGAAACTTCAATGCCTGGATGCCCGGGACAAGAAATTGGGGGTCAAGTCAACATATGATAGATTCATATTGCTCATACATGCCTATGGTAGCCTTGATGTATATGTGGTTGTATGATATATATATATATATCTATACGTACATACATAATATATACACATAAAGTCACCTCAAGGTTGGGAGTCTATTCAACATTTTTTTGCTGGGACTACTTCTAACCAAATATGGTGGCTGAAACCCTAGAGACGATACCTGGCAGAAACCACCAAGATTCCCAGTGACAGTAATGGCCCACAACTTGTGAGGAAGGGGGATTTGAGATGGTTTCTGGGAGATCAATGATGTTTATCACGCTTTCACCAGCCGATGGTCATAGATCTCCAGAGGATTTCAGGGTTTGGGCACCCATACATGATCATACATGTCAGACAAGCCGATCCTATGGGGGGGTTAGTCCCACACCCATTTGTCGATTACCGTCATTTTGGTTGGAGGATCCTCACACAGCTAGACAGCAACCCGCATATTGTTTGAAGGCCCATGCCTTCAACACAAACCGCTTCTTTCCATTGCACAACCTACAACGACTTGACACCAGTTACTATGATCAATCGTTGCAGGATACCAGGATTGATTCTATGGGGAGCCCACAAGCCTTGGGATGTTGATGTGCCCTACGTAGCTGAGAACAAATTGCCGTGTTTGTCAGTGTTGGTGGCAACCACTTCCATGGCATGAATCCGAAACAGATGGAAAAGTGACATCCTATTGACTTATTAACCACTTTTCTATTTTTTATTGGAGTAACTATATATATATATATAGATATAGTACAATCATTGTGTTCCGTGAGCGCGGGTAACATACCAAGGGTTTCATGTCAGACCAAGTGCATCGAAAGGGTCTACCTTTCGGATCCAAAGGGTGTCCATAAAAATCAACGTTTCACTCTGGGAAGAAATCGACAACTTACCGTCTAATTATTTAACATAGCATGGAAAATCATCATTTTTAATAGGTAAACCATCTATAAATGGGCCATTTTCCATGGCTATGTTAAATAACCAGAGGGTAAATCTTGGAGATGTAATTTATTCCCTTCCCCCAAGAAAACATGGTTTATTGCCGGACTTGTTTACTTTGGTGCCCCTTTTGTTTGGTTGTTTATGCCCCGCATCCAGGGATTCAGCAAGCGAACACAGCTGATGGATGAGATTATGGAGGCAGCTGCGAAACGTTATTTATGATAGCTTGGCATCCAACCGTAACATTTATGCGACCATCGCATTTAAATGCATTTAATGTTGTACCATCCAATAGTTGTGGTACCAACTAGAGGTTAGATGAAGTCAATGCTAGCATATACCACAGCATAGCATCTAACAACATTATGCTGTCCAACCCAAACAATGGATAGTAACGCATCCTTACTTAGTTTGCTATTTGGTCAATTCTTTAGTTTGTTACGTAGCGAGTTAGTTTGCTTACGCACGAAAGCCATCATTCAATATTGAATGGCCATAGAACCATAGTAATACTATTGATTTCAAATAGCCGTAGCAGTATTCTTGATTTCCCTATGGATCCAAACACCTCCTGAGAAGATACTGAACCCCGCAAATCATATCCCAAACACTTTCTAAGAAGGTACTTGGATCTGTGGGTATTATCAAATAGTACTATGAGTTGATTACATAGCCATATTACAATGACACATAATCTATATATATTATATATTCAATAGCCATAGTAGGATTATGAAAACGAAATGATAGCCATAGAACTATAGTGGTACTATGTAGTACCGTTGATTTCAAATAGTCATAGAAGTATTTTTGAGTATGAAATAGCCATAATTAGATATAATTAGACATGTTCACTAGCATATCCTAATTATCCATATCATATTTTGATGCTTATCATTTAATATGACTCTTAGAAACCTTATGGATATGATATGGATATGGATATTAAACTATAAACTTACCATATCCGTAGGGTTTCCTATGATCCCCCGGGTGTGCCGATCCCCCCTGGCCAGGCCGGAGTCTCTTCGGCCTCCTTAGACCACGGGCAGACGGGCAGCGTCTACGCCCTGGAGGTGCGACACGTCCACGCTGCAGCGGCGCTGAAGAAAAAAAGGGGAACATTTAGAACATCAACAAATAGGATTTGGTAGGATTTTAATGGGATGTAATGGGATTTATATCATGGGATGTTATAACTAATATAGCTGAAACATTGAGGGAAAATTCTGGGGATAGTATTTGGATATAGCCAACAGTTACAGGATAAGATGGGATATCTCACCATGAACATAGGGGTTGAACTTGGTTGAACCAATGAACAGATATCATGGGAAAATCATCTATAAGATGATATAGCATTATACAACACAGACTAGCCGGATAATCCAGATAGTTGGGTCTGTCTTAATATGGTAAATGCCCCAAGTCTCGGAAAAGGGACGATGAACCATGTGATTTCGGGCAGTGTTCCCCCCAAAAAACTCAGACACACCTTGGTAGTTCAACACAAATAGTCGGTGCTAGTTTCATTTCAGGAAATGAACATCATAAGCTTACTGGTGCTTAGTAGGGAATGGATGGGAATGGGGGAATGGGGGAATGGGATTATTATTAATAGTTATTGTGGATCATTCCCTCATTCCCTGCACAAGTAAGCAAGTCTTTGTGGAGAAAAGATCTGCGGTGAAACTTCCCGCCATGCCGACCTGTACAGTAATGTCTACCAAGGCAGGGGACCACAAGATTGCCGTTTTCAAGCCAGTCGCTCTGCAGATTTTTGGGGCCATGTGTCCAGCAAACTGCAACTGGTTGCAACTGATAGATCTATGTCTCCAGGTTTATGACCAACTCTTGTAGAATTGCCAGGCATCCAACAGACTTGTGTTTTGTTGACCAATGTGCTTCAGGGACCAAGTCGCTCATGACATGCTATGATTTGTCGAGTGCTGTCAATTGATTTGCAGTTGAGAAAAGTATAGAAAAGTGGAGGAGAAAAACACATGTCTGGGATATGGAGACATCACCTTAGATGGCCTTGAAAGGCTCATGAAATTGGCACTACATGGATTGCAGCATTTGTCCTGCACGGTGTTTTTGCATGTTGTTTTATGCGGTTCATCGTTTCTTGTGCAACAATCAATTTTAATGATTTCGTTGAAACTGGGTTTGCATCCCAGATGTATGGTTTTGAATGATACAGTTCATAAAACAAAGAGAAATATGTGGTGAATATTGTTGAATTGTGTTTTGAAACATAGTGAAACAAAATAAGTGCACATATTACATATATATACATAATTATATATATATTACACATATACATGACGAACTCATATATTTATACATCTTCTGTTTGACTGCCGTGGCCCCAAGGTGGACGGTGAAAAGTTCAGTCGAAAGAGTTTGGACGCCGGAAAGGGCCCGGGGAACTCAGTGGAATTGGACAGAGAGGCATAGATAGGGTATGTTCCATATCATAGATATAGATTATATGGGTATGGGTCAATACCTATAGATACATTTTTAGTGGGATGAACATCCATTTACCAGCTATTTTGATGTTCACCAGGGGTACAAGGTTTTGACACACTGCCATATGGGAATCTATAGGGAACATGATGATTCATCAGTGGATTTGGGAATATTTGGGACCCATTTTTGCTACGAATGAGAGAATTTCTGACTGAGCCACCTTTTTTGCTACGGCATGTTCTAGTTCTCGTGGAACCCCCCATTCTTGTGCCTTGAGGTGCCGTCAGAGAAGAAGCTGTATATTTGGTCGATAGGATTAGCGGTTCTCGGGCGAGGGGTTTGATCTTGGTGCCGTGCTGGGGTCAGAGTCAAACCATCCCATTCCCAAAGTGGATAATTACTGTAGCTGAACATTTAACTGTCATACCAACTTCTTGGTTGAAACATGTTGAAACCAAGAAAACTAGGGCTGTGCTTAGTGAAGACGTACATTTCCATGTTGAAGGAAACACTGTTGTGACTCCCCAGCGGAATTTTCATCGCCAGGCCGGGGTGCCTGTGTCGTCCAGGGCCAGCATCGAGGCAGCTCAAGTCGTCGGTTGATGTTGGTTGGGTTTGTTCCAGCATGGTTCAGCTATGTTCAGTTCTGTTTTCCAAAGATTTTTGAGTGTCCAGATGTTTAAAAAAATGACACAACTTCTGGGTGGTTTCAACATGGTTCAACTAGTTTCATGCAATGATGTGGAATGTTTCATCCACAAAGGTAATTTTGGGATAATGGGCATGATCCCAATTGACTTTCAATTTGATGGGCGGTGAAACCAGTTATTCACCACCAACAAGAACTGAGCTCTGCCGCATGCTGTGCCCCGAGCAGGTAGAAGGAAACACGATGGAAGGCACAGTGGCTGGGTCGAGAGAGATTGGTATATGTTCATTCTCTTGGCTTTATTTTCATATATGGAGATGTGTCAAGACCTCTAGATATAAATATCCAATATGTTTATTATACAATAACATATTTGGGGGAATGAACATCCAGCCCAGCCATACCAGCTCTTTTGGTGGTCACCAAGGGAACGCGGCTCTCTCACTGTGACCTGCGAGGAAAACAGACCATTTCAGACACTAGGAACAGTTCAACGTATCACAAAAGTTCAAGGCGTGACATCACTCCACTCATCAATGGCAATGGGCCTTTACGTGTGGTTAAAGAAGCAAATTATGCGAAGCATAGTATCGGTCAAAGTTATGAACACACCAGCCATAGGTGTTACATAATTTATATACCTTTTCAATCTACATTGCTAATTTTGAGCGGCGCAAAGATCTCAACATCGATGCACCTAATTCTTTCGGCACACAGATTTGACCCAGTCTAACAAGATGTGTTTTACGATGGGGGCTTGAAAAAAATATCGCAAACAACAGGGGTGGTTGAAGGTTCTGTCCATCACATGTGTTCAAATGACACTTCTTGTTGTGCATAGTACGATCACCTGCAGCCAGATGCAAGCATTGTAAGCAACAAGACCAATCATTGTTGTATTGTGGTTTCAAAGTTGTGTCACTGTCTCGTTTGAATGACTTGGAACTGCCAGGCTCAGTTCAAGCCTTTGTGATGGAGGCTGGATGGGGATGTCGGTAGCTCCAAATCGTTATAGATTGAGATATCAAATCCCAGTCAGATCATTTCCTGGAATTCACTGTATATTAGCATAGTCTATGACACATATAGGAACCAATGGGCTTTCATATGAACATATATTTATATGTATGGTGATATTCATAAAATCAAATCATCTAACCTATACTATGTATATATATATATACGTATATATACACAATGAGAACAAAACCTACTAAAATATAAGCATAGATATTCAGCTGTTTTTTCTGTGTCTTTTGGGGGAATGCTACACAGTTATATAGAATATGTGTATATATATACACATATAATATACATATCCAAAACAATAGATTCATATATTAGATACACTATTCATCAATATTCCATATTCTAGATATTATATATACTGTAAATGTCAAACAAATATTCATATCAAGCAGGTGCATACTCCATATTAGACATATAATTTAGATACCATATCATAGTACACAAAACAAATATACTGTATATGTAGATAGCACACACCATTTATTAGATACACATCATAAATATATATATATACACATACCATCTAGCAGAGAATAATATACACCATAGATATACCATAGATATACCATAGATATACCATAGATATACCATAGATACCCTCAGTTCCCCATTTCGATCCACTTCCCCATTTCGGGTCACGACGGGTGCCGGACCGGACGCCAGATCCGTCGCCAGGTCCAGGGCTTCATCGAAGACTACGCCATGCCCCGCGACCTGGCACGAGCTCAGGACTTCGTGCCGCAGGCATCGTGGGGACATCATGGGGAGGGGGAGATGATGACTGGAACCCACGGATTATTCATGTTAACTGCTTGGTGGTGACTGGTTTGGAACCATGGAATTTTGAATGACTGTTTCCATATGTTGGGAATGTGATTATCCCAACGAACTCGTATTTTTCAGAGGGGTTGAAACCACCAACCAGTTGATGGCATTTAAATGTATTGACATGGTGTGTATATATATATATATGAATATTATTTGGATTCTGGAACATGCTGATAAATGTTCGGGATTCATATGGAGATGATTAGGTTATTTATATGTTTATCTTAGTGGAATAGAAATCAATTGGGGATATAAAATCACTGGGGATATTCATGTTATTTGGGATCTAATTTCGATAGAATGGGGATATTAAGATTGATGCAATCTCTACAGTATAGGTACATATATATATACTGTATGCAATACTGTATGATATGATTCGATATGTAAGCCTGAAAGTCAGGGGTTTAACCAATGGATGTATAGATTATATAGTAAGGTTATAATTTGGGGAAATCATTGAACACATTGGGATTCTACGGAGGTGATATGGGGATGTGATTAAAACTTCCCAAGCACAGCGGGGATTTGGAACACATAACATGATACAAATTGTAGCACTTTAGCATCAACATGCGGGATGCTTGCTGTTGAACCATCCAAAGTTAAGATTTGACCATCGAAAAACGCCACCAAGAATGGGGGTACTTTAAACCAACCGTTCGGAATGGGATATTTCATCGAATGCAACGGCATATTCTTGGGGGATCTATTAATTCAACATTGACCCCCAAAAGCTGCCATATCCAACAAGAAAGTCATCCTCCAGGCCCCATGCGTGCCTGGGTCTTAGGTTTTGACCCTTTCCCAAAGCGTAAGTTTGGTGGCCATCAATCAGTAGTGTGCTCAATTATGTAGATGATAAAGATATAAAGATTGTATCTATTTATCATTATCAGTATATATATATATACAATACACATATATTCAAGTATAGTCATGTGTATATATATATAATTTATATATCCATGAGTGACTATGCACAGGTAAACACTTGGTTTAGCATATGTTCATCATTACACACTTGCGCGGGTATTTATATATATATATGTATGTCACCTTCCAAAGATAATGCCCAAAACTCAATCGGATTACTCGTACCATGTTCAGGATGTGGCCGAAGCGTTGGCTTTACTGGATATGCGAGTCTTCAACATGGCCCGGATGCACGGAGCGACGGAACGCCCCTGGGGCCTTGGGATTGCACCCCGAGAAATGTGGTTTCATCGCATCTTGAAGGTAAATGAGGATATGTATAAACATATTTGATATATTCATGTATGTATAGATACATATATATATGTATATCTATATATGTGTGTGAGAGTATGTACAGAAATACATTGACTATATATAAGTATGGATGGTATACAGTTTACATGAATACAATATATATATAGATGATAATGATACTAGTAATGTAATCCGGTGCATACAATTAATGTATATCTGGAGGTCTATGCAAATCAGGATAGAACTAGTTGCACTTTAAAACACAACTCAGAAAAATGGTCAGAGTCATGGTACTTCCTAGAAAAATGTCACAGAAAGTGGTAGATAGAACATGATAGGAGCAACAAACAGATAGGAAGAATGTATAAAACATCTAGATCCACACTGAAAGCCTTGGGAACCAAATCCGTCACCAGAAAGTTGTGACTTTAGACATCGTCAGACATCATCTCAAAGTACTGCATTTCGGGTGGGCCAAATGATGCCAAATGTATGAGGTACCAGGTACCATATGCCCCTGGTTTTGGAAATCTCTGGGATGTGGCCAAGTTGTGGCCCTGTGACAAACCCGGAGCTGGAGAATCCAGCGTCCTTGGCCTAGGATCGACATCCAGGAAACCTGCTGGTTCTGAAAGAGGCCCAGAAATTCGGTGGCGATGGGGGGACGACGCCGTTCTGAACTGAGGGAAACCCGCAGAAATCCCACCATATCATGACCATCATGACCTGGATCTTAAGGGAAAGATGCAAACTTTCGGGGTGCCATGTATGAAAGCGTTCGTCATTCTGTAGTAGAGACCATTCAATTGTGGCCCCTACAATGTTGGTGTTGAAAGGTGATGTTTGGGCCAGTCCTTAAGGGATGGTCATGAAAATCCATTGCTAGTGACATGTCGAATGGTGAGATCCCATGAAAATCCATTGCTGGAATGGCATTAAAATGACCATGGAGAATGCTGGGATGACCATGAATCATTTATCATACGTTTGGTTATATAATGTTATGTACCCATCAATATACTCATTACATTTCCATTACAGATCCCATTGTGGCTTGACCCCCCTATGAATTTCCATGTATTTGACCGTGGCACCATGATCAGAGGAGAAGCCGCATACGTTGGGCCCCATCGACCATGGCTGCTGTTTGCCGCCCTGGTGTCTTGGGCCCCTAAGATCCCCTAAGATCCCCTAAGATTCGGATTTTTTGGCGCGAAAAAAGATGATACACTGCTAAAAACCATGGGAGTTTGGGGTACCCGGGTACCCTATATTTCAATTTGGCTGAAACTCGAAGCTCGCCTACATAGGATGGTTGCTTTGGTGACCCGAGGAGATTACTTGAAACTAGTGAATTGGTGTGAATTGAATATATGTTGGTCTAAAATCTGATAGATACTGATGGTTCCAACACAAATGTGATCCGCAAATGAAGCAGAAGTATCCACTCTAATCGGGAAATGGTCAAAAGCTTGGCGCGCATCCGTGGTGAAGAGAAAAGCGTCTCCAGAAAGCGGATGGAAGTTGGAATAGACAGTATGGTGATGTTTAGTGAATGCTCCTAGCAAACCTGCATAGTCATTAGGATTGCATGTGCGTGTTGCCCAAAAACTCATCAGCTGAAGCTTTGGACACGATCATCTGTTTGTACGTTTAGGTGGTACTCAACACAACGACCGCAGTCTCGTTCACAATGTGGATCAATGTGGCAGCAAAAGTATCCATTTGGTGGAGGATTTGAATGGATTTGACTCGGCGGATACAGAGCAAGGAGAGGTTGATGATGGTTGATGGACAAAAGCATATTATAAGTGGGTTTCATTCCATACGGCCGTTGTGGCAGATCCTTACATGTACACACATATGTATTATATATATATACACATATGTTTACATACATATTCTATATAGCCATTTACTGCTAGGTCGGCATTATATAGCTGGTGAAGGTTGAGATTATATGTTTCTTATTCTGAATTTCATGAAATCAACCATCATTTGACTTCAATAGAACCATAAACTAGGATATACAGTATATCTAAAAGGTTATAGACCCACTTACCTTCCGACAATCAAACGTGGTAATTGAACATCCACTATGTAGTTCGAAGATTTTCCCAACTATAAACATTCATTTAGGTCGAGGATATTCTAATTGCCACCTTTGATTGCCGGATGGTACTATATATACATCCCACTAGTAAGTGGTTAATAACCCTGACTAGTAAGTCCCCGATTCGTGGGTTATCCCATCTATAAATGGATTGTAACCATGGTTGTCAACACGATTGTCACCAATAATCACTATTATTGACCATTATTGAGCACTATTAATCATGATTTTACCACCATCAATATTCAATCATTTATCAATCATATATGTAATCATCATCAATATTAATCATTATATATATATATATGTATAAATGATAATCATATAATTATCATGATATAATCATGATATAATCATGATATAATCATGATATAATCATGATATAATCATGGTATAATCATGATACAATCTCTTATTAATCACCTATTCATCATGACCAAGTCGCCATGGAGCGACCAGTCTCAAGGTGGTGCCTCAGCGAGGCGATCTTTGAAGCCTGGCTCTCCTGGCCCCAGCTGAGGCCACGGGGCTGTCATAGCTGCCAATGGTGGTGACTGGAACCATGGATTTTTATATGTTTCTATATATCTATATATATATATTGGGAATGGAAAAATCATCCCAACTGACGAAGTCCATGATTTTTCCGAGGGGTAGGGCGAAAAACCACCAACCAGATAGGTGCTTGGTATTTCTGAGTTTCATCCATTGGTGATGTGTTTTTGTGTGTTGAACAAGTGTTGGCACGTCAAAAACCACGACCTGAGAGAGATGGTCCAGGGGCCCAGCGGCTCCAGGACTCAGCCTTCGGAGTCTGCCATTGGGATTGTGAAGCAAGCCTGGGAGCGACTCGGCGATCTTTCTGGGGCTGAAATTACGCATAGTTTGGGACCATAGAATGGGGGGTGCTTAATATTGACAGAATTGGGACGATTATAAACTGTGTAGTCTGCTTTCTTTTGCCTAACATCCATGGTTGTGATTTTCATATTCCCGCCACACGACTATGAAATGGCAATGTTTACGATGACAGGATGGATGATTATTGCTTTGTGAATTCCAAAACACTACTGTACCATTTAAATCCCCTGAAAATTGAAAACCTGGACAAAAAATGCGGTATCACTGGGCATCTCCAGCCCTACAGCCTGGGGCATCGCTGGTCTCCGGAGGAAGTTGCCCCAGACCTGCAAAATGCTCAGAGAAACTGGGCCTGGCCCTAAGCTCCTGGGACGGGGAGGTGCAACAGCAGGCATATTGCCATAGATTGCCATATTGCAGAAATATACCGCTGGTTGGTGGTTTGGAACATGAATTTTATGACTTTCCATATATTGGGAATGTCATCATCCCAACTGACGAACTCCATCATTTTTCAGAGGGGTAGGCGAAAAACCACCAACCAGATTGGTGAGGATGTTGGGTCGATCCGCCACTGCCGTTCTGGCTGCACGTTGCACGTTGCAATGCCTAGTTTAATCTCTGGTAAACTAACAGTTTGCTATGGAAAATCACCATTTTTGATGGGTAAATCCACTAATATCCACTAATTATAAATGGCCATTTTCAATAGCTATGTTAGTTTACCAGAGGGTATCACTATAGTTCTATAGTATAGTTCTTTTTGTAATCCTCAAGAGCCAACCAGTAAACCCGATCTGCATATGTAGTCAAGTCTTTGCAATATAAACTGCTCAAATGATCTGAGCGAAATAAGATGCGATTGGATCATGCCAACCAACCAATGTCTCGGTAACAGTTACATCGACATCAGTGAATGTTATGCCATCAACAGTGGAGATATTGCTATGATTTCACCAAAAGCTGGACTTGAACCAACAGGGGTTGGGAATGCAGCCCCGACATCTTGAAAGCCTGGTTGAAAGCCTACCTGGCTGAGCTGTGAAGCTGCAGGGGATCTTCGGGGATAACAGCAACAGCTGTCAAACAGCTCAATCAAGAATGACCATCGAAGACCTTGTGTTTGATCAATGGTCTTCAATGCTGATCTTCAGTCAATTCATCATTTCTTCATAGATTCCAAGTCTTGTTTATGTGGCTTTGTCCAAAACTTTGGTAGCACCCAAATGGCAATCTTACATATGTGAATCTGACAGGGAAACTTCACCCGTTAGATTTGTGGGTACCCTATTCGCATGAAACCCATATATAGATCATACAAATGGAATGATTCGAGTTGTAGAACCTTGCACTTGCCACAGATGTAGGCCCTGGTTACAAGTTTGTCACGTACAACCCACGGGTAGTGCCAATCGAGTTGAGGTTGGAGGAAAGTGCTGTGACCACCCTCAGGCCGGAGAAAACCTTACAACCCATATAAAAATGCAGTATGTGAATCAAGAGGTCTAGGGGAATCACTAGCACAAAGATACTTGCATTTGTTTGGGGGGAATGCAACTAATGTCCAAACCCATGAACATGGGGGAACCACGAACCAATGATGGTTTTTTGGAGCTCATGGAAACAGAAGAGGTTCCAGGCGTGGAACAGCTGCCCAAGTATAGCAGCTGTATAGCTGATGGGTCGTTCAGGCTATGCACCAGCCTGGTCTACATTGGAGTGGTCGAGCTGGGCTGTAGCATCAGCGAGATCGCCGTCACGAGTCCAAGATTCCAAGATTGAGATCTGTCGGGCTGAGGGAAGCTCTAGAGATTTTACTCCGATTGATGTAGTGATCGTTTAGAAAGGGCCATTAGTTTTGGTCCTGTTCCGTCCTGGCACATTCGAGTGATCCCAATTGACTCTTGGGATTGTTTGGGATGGCCGGTTGAACCACAAAGCTGTCGAGAAGACTCGTTGCTCTTTATGAAGGAACTATCCTCCCTGCGCTGTAGGGTAAGGTGACTAGTAAGGTGAAAGATGGTGAAAGCACGTGTCGAATTTCAAAGGATTTTACACTTGATGTTTGCTGAGGCATGCTGGGCATATCATGGTACAACTTAGTGTAGTTATCAGATATCCGAAGAACAGATATGTTGTTTGTTCATGGTTGTTCATCGAACAATGATATCTTTTTTTTTTCACCAGGCATCTGAGGGGTCTCGTGCCGCTTCATGCAAACCAATCCCTCAGTGAGGTTGGTAATCCGGTTGGATGGAGTTATACTCAGTATTAACTGCCATCGCAACCAATTCAGAGCCATATGGCTCGATGTCACTGCTATAGTGCTCTGATGCGGCGGCACATTTGGTCACCAAGGCTGTCAGGGCAATCGCAAAGCTCCTGTTCAGCGCCTCAGGATATTCTTTTGCCGCCGCCGTTTTGTATTGCCCGCTGGAGTTCTTCCCGATGAGGAGACCTTCAGGACGTTGTACGGAATCCAACTGGCACTGCTGTAGAGCTGCTGGTAGCGGAGCATTAGCGTACATCAGTGTCGTTGGTTTGATACCAACTGAGCCAAACCGCCATTGTTCGACGGTAATGCGTCGCATCAGTGCATGGGGTTGTCTCAGAAGAAGGCGTACCAGTCCTAAGCGCCAGATGCTGGGATATTCTTCATTGTGCGGGATCGCAGGGTGCTCTAAAAACACGGCACCGCCTCTGAGCGCGACAATGACCGCCAGGTAGAGGCCTTTGAGCAATAAGCAGTTGCCCGTGAAAATCTGGGCAAGTTCAGCTAACGTCAAAAGTGCCAGTCCCCAGGGTTGCTGTGCAGATCTGAGGGGCCTGGGGCCACGCACTTCATTGTCGTGTTCATCCAGTTGTTTATGAAACCTTGCGGATGACCAGGTTTCACACGGTGGGCCCTGTAAGAGTCCAATAAGTCGACCTTCAGTGGCCACCGTCAGGAGGAAGGTCCAAAGTTTCATGTCATGGATGTTGAGGCGTGGATCAACCGCTGTATCCAGCGACAGAATGCGGATGTTTGCATTTGGAATCGCTGCCAAGAGCTGCTCCATCATCGCGTGGAAATCACCAGAACGGCGTCTCCCTGAATAGAGATGCACCACATAGTAGGGACCCTTGCGTGAGGTCATGCTTCTGGGCAGTTGGTCCAGAATGCGCCATTTCGTGCGCTGTTGTTCTTCATCCCCAAGTAGAGCATATCTCGAGGAGATTGAGTGAATGCGCTGACCCGTGCAAGGTAAAGATGACCGCATTGATGTAGTCACCTCAGGGTTGTTGTCCTCATCTGATGGCAGGTTCATCCACAAATCCAAAAGTCGCTTCATCTGCAGGCGCATAGTCCAAATAGGAATGTCCTCCAGCATAGCCATGTGAGCTTCTTCAAGACAAAAAATAAGGTCAGGGTCAAGATCTTCCGGCATGGCGTCATGGAAACCAGTCTCAATCCAATGCACAAAAAGTCGTCCTCCCTGCATCTCATCAATGTCCAGAGCAAAAATGGCTTGGAATAACATATTCTGAAAATCAATCGCATCCACCATTCCCTTCGCACACCATTCCAGAAGCCGATCAGTGAACAACGCACAAGCTCGGTCGGTCAGCTCAGGGTCACTTTCTGGGTGCCACCATGCATACATATCTGCTCCTTCTGAACGTAGATGTGCAATGCGGGCTCGAAGTGCAATCCTCTCACGCTGGCGACTAGTGGGTCTCAGTGGTCCATGTTGGCGCCGGACTGCTGGTAACCGTTTCACATGTCGAAGGTGATCAGGAAGATGGATGGTGATGGGTGTATCAATATTCCGTACCCCATAAATGCGGTCCCAACATCCATTGCTACGATAGCGCAAGTGTTGTTGCACCCTCCATGTTGTGTGGAAATCACGAAGACATCCTGGACAAGTCGTAGACTGGATGTATGGTCTCTCGATCGAGAGAAGGCCATGTTTCTGGTACTCATGGGCCGCAAGGGCTTGGATTGTTTTGAAATTCTTTTCACATGTTCGGCATCTGTGTTGAGGTGGATTGGCTGGATCAGCAGGGTCATCATCAAACCAAAGGTTGCAGCCAAATTGCAAGATCTCGTCGGCAATCAACTTGTGATAGTGGGATACATCACGCGCAACCCTTTCTTGAAGGACATACTTGCGACTAGCACGTTTGATCATAGATTTCCATCTTGTACAAGTCTTCAGTGCAGTCCAAATTGTCTCCCAATTGGGATTCTGCGCGTCAAAGGAAAATGGCAAGGTGACAAGATCAGTCAGCCAATTCAGATCTTCAACAACTTCTCTCAACCATCCTTTGCCGAGGTCAAACTCCATTAGAAGAAGCTGTCGGTGGAAGACCGAGCCATGCTTCGCCACATGTTGAAGATAAGCAAGGCGGTGTCCAGTCCAAACCACTTGAAAGGGTGGGAGTTCATGATGAAGTCTGAAATCACGATCTGTCATTTCTGCACCATTCCAAAATCCAATGTTCGCGATGCGTCGTTGATGATCAATAAGAAATGCTTCCAGCCTATGCAAATGGGCTCGTGGAAGTTCAGACCACACCGCGCATCCATACATCAGTCGTGAGATGATGAGACTGTTGTAAAGTTGAAACCGACCTTCGATGGGAATGTTTCTGTTCTGAAAGATGGGTCGTTTGAGCTCTTCATATGACTGTCGGGCCATTGCGATGCGTGAGTTGACCTCATGTTCAATGTCGGCATCCATAGTATATCGGGAGCCAAGGTGTCGGTATGTTGCCACCACTCGCAGGGTCACGATATGGGAGTCTGTGTCAACCACAACGCAAGGTGGGGTTTCCCGGTCGAAGAGCTGGGTTCTATATGCCGCTGCACCATTGCCCCGGTACATGATGACAGCTTCGCTTTTGCCATTGTCAAAGTTCATGGTGAGGCCATGGGCACGAAAGGTCATGTGCAAAAGGGCCGTTGTGTCTTTGACCAATGGTAGCAGCAAGCTAGGATGTGTCACCGCCAAAGGGATGGTGAGGTCATCAACCCATGCCAGCGGAGGGATGGTTGTACCCAGGGCTTGACAGCCTTGCACATACTCTGGGATGTCCGCGAGCTTGGCTGCCAATTGGTGCATGACTTTGGTCATCAATAAATTGAAGCCAATGTCAGCCAAAGGTGATCTGGGTCTCGTTCCTCTCTCTGTGGCAGTAGTGTGGACATCATCTGCATGTAATTTGAACCATGTCTCCTTGTGCAAATCATGGAGGAAGACCCGCAAACCTGCAGGAATGTCTGCAGGCTTCTCTTGTGCTGCTGCATCGAGATCATGGGCCAATTGTAAGAGGTCAAATTCATTGGGATCAAAAATTCGAAGCAAGGTGGCTTGAGTGGCAGGTTCACGCACAATAAAGATGAACTCCCTCAGCATGTGGTGGAACGCCGCTTTGAGATCGATGAAAACAGCTGCAGAAGTGAGTTTTTTACTTCGGCAGACTTTACCATGTAGCCTCAAAAGTTGGATTGCTGTGACCGTCTGTTGTGACGGAAGCCCACCTAGTTGTCCAGGAGCACGTCGGATCTCGAGGGTAGGTAACAACCTTTTGCGGGCCCATGCGTGCAGGATTTTTCCATACACGTTGGCGAGCAAGATGCCTCGGTAGCCCTCGGGCACATCACGAGGCTGTCGCTGTTTCCAAATTGGGCACAGCAGTCCACCCTTATAGACATAGGGCTCAGTCCCTTGAAGGAATGCCTTCATGATGAGATTGTGGAGAAAGGGAGCAATCGTTGCTGCGGCCAATCTGCAGATCTCAGGAGGAATCATGTCCAATCCAGCGGCTCGATGTGGGCGTTGTTTGAGGCAAAGTTCTTCAATTTCAGCAAGCGTTGGAAGCTCTTGGAGTTCAACAAAAGCTGGCATCAATTGTTCATCCAGATCTCGGTTGTGTCGGTCAATGCAGCGTTGCTTGGCTTCCACATCTGAAAAACACGTGCCAGCTTCAAGGGCTGCAAAGTGGCGTTGCAAACCAGCGTCAATGTCATGACGTGCATGCACTTGTTTGCTTCGATTTTTGGGGAGAACCATCTTGATCTTTTTCCAGATAGCTGTCAAGCCCTCATGCGTATATGCATGGCCAGCATCAGTGGCAAGTTGAAGGTAATAGTCCAAGTCAGCTTGACGAATTGCTGCTGTTACCTGCCGTGTGGTGAGCCGATACTGTTGCATGGTAGTGGCCACTGCATGGTTGTGTAGCTTTTGCCATGTTCTCCAAGCTGAAATGGTTGTAGCCACATGTGTTTGCGGTTGTCGCCATACTTGGAAAAGCATTTGCATCATGGTAAAGCGCTGGGTTTTCTGCAGTGCTCGTAATTGTCGGAAGAGTTGTTTCTTCTGCTCGACAAGTTGCCATGCTTTGTCAGGTACATGCTGTTTTCGCCTCCATTGGACAGTGTGCGGGACTATTTTGGCAATTGCCTGTCTGGTCTGATGCTCAAGACGCTCAGCGGCAGCATGGGGATCAGTGGTCCATGGCGCATTGGTGAGCGTTTGGGCAAGTTGCCGACGTGCCCATGGAGTTTGAAGTTGCACCGTCAGCGCATGTCTGTTCACACGGAATTTGTTGCGCTTCGTGACCGGCTTCATTCTGAACTCATGGTGGTAGCGGAGTTTGCCAATCACAACATAGTGGTCTGGTCGCTCTCCACAAAGATCAATTTCATGCTCCACCCAGGTTTCAACCATATCCTTCGTGAAGGTTGTAGGCACTGCAATGTAGTCAAT